AATAAGTTAACATGGTGCAATAGGATTGTGCATTTGTTAGTGGCATCCACAGGGTTAGGGATTTTCTGTCTTCACTGTGAGTTGTATGATGTTGAGTTGTATGATGTTCACAAAGGGAGGCTCAGCCAATCTGATTGTACACATGTTGTACTCTGACAATAAAGTTCTTTTTGGCACTCTGACAATCAAGTTATTTTCTGCGCCAACTCAAGAAAGCTCAAACTGCCCAGGGAGCTGCTGACACGGTTCTACAGATTGAGTCTGTCATCTGCACCTCTATCACTGTCTGGTTTGGTTCTGCAACCCAACAAGACAGACACAGATTTATTTCAGAGAGTAATTAGGACTGCAGAAAAAACAATTACTACCAACCTGCTTTCCATGGAGGACCTGTATCCTGCACGAGTCAAAAAGAGGGCTGTGAAAATATTTACAGACCCCTCACATCCCGGACATAAACCGTTTCAACTCCTACCCTCAAAATGACACTATAGAGCACTGCACACCAGAACAACTAGACACAAGGACAGTTTTTTCCTGAACGCCATCACTCTGCTAAACAAATAATTCCCTCAACACTATCCAACTATTTACAAAGTCTGCACTACTATTACTATTAATCTTCTCACCATTCCTTATCACCCATCCCCTCCCACTTGTGACTGTATGACTGTAACTTTGTCACTTGTATCCTTATGATTTATATTGACTGTTTCCTAGTATGATTGGATTGCTTATTGTACCCCATGACTATCATTAAGTGTTGTACCTGATGATTCTTGTCTCTTGATGAATTTATCTTTTCTCTTATCTACACTGAGAGCATTTGCACCAAGACAAATTCCTTGTGTGTCCAATCACACTTGGCCAATAAAAGAATTCTATCCATAAAGGTTTGATCTTGAATTCTATTCATCTGAGGATATTGTTTCATCTTCCAACATGCCCAGAGCAGCCCTTGGAGGACCAAACAAGGCAGAGGCTGAAGATTGAGTGGATGCAGGGGAGGTTGGTGTTAGGGTCGCATCTGATACACCGATTCATTTTTAAAGTAGGGTACACCCTACTTATCGTTGAGCTCCTTTTGCAGGGGGGGAACCCTGGCCATAAAATTTGCTCCGACCCTTACCTTTTGCATGCTACGCAGAGAGCCACAAAGCAGGCAGAGAGCAGCGACACCCCAGCAATGAAGAAGAGGAACCCCACCACCGGTGCTTCCTCAAAGGCAGACGCCATAAAATGGAGGTCAAAAGGCTGCTTGACACAGGAAGCTGAAAACAGAGAGAGAGAGGGAGGGAGGGAGGGAGGGAGGGAGAGGGATAGAGAGAGAATCAGTCCCTGAAACACAGGTAGACTTGCGACCACAACGGAGCCCCAAAACTTCTGTCGCTAAGCGAGACGTTGGTTTAAGCGAATTTCGCCTCTTTTCACGGCCTTTCTTGCCACACTTGCAGTCGTTCAAGTTAGTAACCCGGTTGTTAAGTGAAATCTGGCTTCCCTGTTGACGTTTGCTTGTCTGAAGGCTGCAAAAGGAGGATCACGTGACCCCAGGGCACTAGCAAGCATCATAAATATGAGTCAATCCCCATGCCTCTGAATTTTGATTGTGCGATTATGGATTGCTACAAAGGTTGTAAGTGTGAAAAATGGTCCTAAGTCCCTTTTATCAGCACCGTTGTAACTTTGGTCACTAAATGAATCGTTGTAAGTCGAGGACTACCTGTATTTGCCGGTTGCCAAGCGCCTGAATCACTTTTTTTTTTTCAGAAATCAGCCTTGAGGGCCTTGAGTAATTGTCCCTCATATGCCAAATTAGAACATATGTGGATTCTAATAAATAAGCATTTTAGTTTAGTTTAGTTTAAGTTTAGTTTAAGTTTAGTTTAAGTTTAGTTTAAGT